GCCGGGCGAGTATGCGGGGTCTGTTCTGGCCGCAAAATTGGCCCGAGCCCGCATACTCGCCGGAATTTTTGTGGGCCGGGCGTTTTGCGGGGTCTGCTAGAGTTGCTCTAAGTGGTTCTCCATCCAAAGTTTTTACAATGCTTGCTAAATCTGTCATCCCACTTTGCATATTTGCAAATTCAAGGGGCACTTGCTAAATTTTGGCGAGGCTTTGTAAAAATGACCCCCTTCATATTTTTGTCTCCATGACTAGTGGGCCCATGTATGATGTGTACATGTATGTGTGTGCTGTGTGTGCGTAAGTGTACTTGTACGTGTCTGTGTACATGTATGCGGGTGTGTTGCGTGTGTACATGTATGCGTGTGTGCTGTGTGGGTGTACGTGTATGCGTGCACACCTCTACATGAGGTGTGCTAGTATACGCTGTGATGTGTCTATGATAAATTGTCTCCACATGTTATTATGTGTTTTGTGCAAATATAGCAATCCAATATACAAAGCTACCAAAGATAAAACATGTTGGCTTTATAAACCTTCTGTCTCTTCTTGTATAACATGTTTTTAACAATTCAATATACAAAAGGCTGTTGGAGATGCTCTAAACTATACAATACACATGTGAAGGTCTCTTCCATCTGCCCAACATGTTCAAATGGGCTGGAAGACGCGAAACACATCTTGTTCCTTTGTCAGAAGGCGAAAGAGCTCTGGGATAAGTTAGGTTTGTATGAGGTGATCAATAGAGCTTGTGTTGTTGACCGGGCGGGAGAAGCAGTTCTTGAATTTTTAATACTTATGCCAGAGCAAGAAATGTCTGTTTGGGGACTCCGGAATACGTGTGAATTGATCGTTATAATAACTTGGTATTTATGGTGGGATAGACGTAAACTGGTGTATGAAGGAAAGTCTTAAGATGCATATCAAACTGCGATGGGGGCTCGTGCTATAGCGGCAAATTATGCTAAAGGAAACTCTCCTAAGGCAATCAGTAAAAAAGGGGGATGCCTTAGACCTTCTACGGGTTTTGTGAAGCTAAACATTGATGCTTCTTTTGATCATTATCTGCTTAGAGGCACGACGGGGGCAGTCCTCGGAGATGACAAAGGAAGGTTCATTGTTGGCGGAAGTTTGAGGATTGACTGGTGTGCGGATGTTCTAACAGCAGAAGCATTGGCACTAAGGTTTGGTCTTACCCTAGCACAGAAGGAGGGGTGCAACCGCCTTATTCTCGGATAATATGGAAGTGATTGAAACGATGAAGAATGGAGGACAATCGACGGGAGCGACAACGACAGTGTTCGATGATTGCAATTTTATGGCTTGCGAATTTACTATTAGTAGGTTTGAACATTGTAATAGGGAAGCAAATAAAGTTGCTCAAGAACTTGCTAGGCTTGCAAAATTCTCAGCGACCAGGGATTGGTTTGAGGAGCCCATGGATAATATTGTATCTCTCCTTATTGATGAGGTAATTGTTATTTCTATTTAATAAAGCTTAATGATTAAAAAAAGCCACTCGCACACGAGATCCCGGGGTATCTCGATCTCGCCTTTCCATCTTCTTCTGCTAAGAAATGAATTTGTGCCGCCGTAATGTGGTTCGTAGCGTGCCCGAGAGCGATCGACAGCTTTGCCGCCACATGTACCTCCACAATTTAAACTCCCCGTTCTATATTTGTGATACTTTGCGCTAGGGCCGGGCATAGTGGGCGATGCTATCTCCCTAGCTAGCATCCATACTACTACGCCGCCAAGCAGTTCGGAACCCCCGCCGGCACGGTTCCTTACATAGTTAATGTTAATGCGGCGCCGCTCTTCTCTGAGTATGCTTCGCCGCAACTCGCTCGGGCGCGGACGACGAGTGGGGAGAAAATGTTTGCATGCACGCTGTTCGTTGCAATGCCTAGAGTGGGAGATCTGGTGTATAATGTCGGGGACAGGGATATGCTCGACATCTTCCGCGACGAAGGCAAGGGAGGAGGAGGGGCTATGAGGATGGGCAGGTAGAAGACTCGTATTGTTGGGAAACGGAGCATGCAATTTCAAAAAAATTCCTATGCTCACGCAAGATCTAACTAGAAGATGCATAACAACGAGAAGCGAGAGTGTGTCCATGTACCCTCGTATACCGAAAGCGGAAGCGTTAACTTAACGCGGTTGATGTAGTCGAACGTTTTCTCGAATCAACCGATCAAGTACCGAACTTATGGCAGCTCCGAGTTCTGCACATGTTCAGCTCGATGACGTCCCTCGAACTCTTGATCCAATAGAGGTACGAAGGAGTCGAT